CTGGACCCGCTCCAACAGCTCCTTCTTCTGTTGGGGACCCCAGAGCTGAATGCAGCACTGCAGGGGGGTCTCAGGAGAGCAGAGCAGAGGGGCAGAATCCCCTCCCTCTCCCTGCTGCCCATGCTATTTGGGTGCAGCCCAGGACACGGTTGGCTTTCTGGGCTGCCAGCGCATGGTGCCAGCTCATGTTGAGCTTCTCCTCAACCAATAGCCAAAGAGATATGGGTAAATCCCAATTCAGGATCCTGTAGGTTAAAAAATGGGTCATGAATGTGCCCTTGGGTTTTCCTACATGAAGCACCTGATGGTCTCCTCACAGCCTGCCCGAGCGCATCGGTTCAGCCACGAGCCTGAGCAGCACCATCATCAACAACCGGCTCCAGGAGCTGGTGAAGCTCTTCAAAGAGAGGACCGAGAAGGTGAAGGAGAAGCTGACTGACCCCGATGTCACCTCAGAGGAGGAGAGCCCTGCGGCATGTGAGTCTGAGCGGGGCTGGGAGCTGACGGGTCCCCACATGCGCTGTCTTTTCACGGAGACAGCTGCTTTGTTAACAATGTAGAGACCTTAAACCAAACTGCAGCAAGAAGATCTTTCTGCTCTTTAAAATAACTGTGTGTGGCCTCTCCCAGCCCCTGCCAAGCCGGTGCCTGTGGCAGGACCGGGGCCCCCCCCCCGAAAGGGGGACGAGCCGGTGGGGGACGAGCACTACTGCGAGATGCTGTGCTGCACCTTCAAGTACCGGCCCTGGCTGGACCGCCTGAAAAACTGCCAGCTCCCCAGCAGCATCGACCCGCTCACCAGTGAGTGAGGGGGCACGGCCGCGCGCCCGGGCTGGGGGCAAGCTGGTGGGAGAGGAGGGGAGGAGGCGTAAAAGCTGAGACCTGGTAGAGAAGGGAGGATGACTAAGCAAGGAGCAACCTAACACCTATCTGCTGAGCACCAGAGGTTTCAATCCCCCTCAAGGCACAGGCTTTCTTCAAAGCTTCGCAGTGGCTGTGGGTGTTGGGAGCGTGACCGGGCAGGGAAGGGGCAGCCGCCTTCTGCTTCTCAGGGTTTTTAGTGTGCAAACACTGTCCCCATGCCTTGGGCACCCCAAATAAAAATAAAAATCACAAAAGAAAAAACAGCTGTGCAGTGGGCACCCCGCAGGAGCCCAGCTCCTTCCTTAGTCTTTGCTCTTCCGGAGCCGTTCCGGAGCCGCC